CTTGAGCCACAGGCGCCGAGCCAAGCCCAAGAGTTTGAGGTTGCTGTGAGCTGTGGCACTACAGCACTCTACTGAGGATGACATGAGACTCTGCCTGAAAAAAAAAAAAAAAAGAAAAGAAAAGAAATTTGTCATTTAAATTTCTCTTTAGTCCTGCCCTTAAGTAGAGCTCAACCTCCTTGAAAAAACTCTTGGTCATTCCTAATGGTCCTTTCTTGAAGGAAGTCTGTGGTGAGATAAAATATTTTTCTTGGATCCTCAATGTTTATTAAAAAATTGTATTTCTAGGCTGGGCAAGGTGGCTCACACCTATAATCCTAGCACTTGGGAGGCTGAAGTGGGCAGATTGCCTGAGCTCACCAGACTGAACTAAAGTGAGATCCTATCTCTGAAAATAGCAGGGTGTTGTGGTGGGCACCTGTAGTCACAGATACTTGGAAGGCTGAGGCAAGAGAATCACTTGAGCCCAAGAGTCTGAGGTTGCTATGAGCTATGACATCATGGTACTCTACCAAGGGTGACCAAGTGAGACTCTGTCTCCAAAAACATAACATTCCTCTTTTTTAATGACATGATAAATATATACATTTTCCTCTAATAGAAAGCTAGGAAAATTGTGTGCCTGGTGTTTCTAATGAGGTTTAACTTAGAACTCACATTTACTCATTTACTGGAGGACTAGTTGAGAAAATGTCCATCCATTCTTCCAAATATTAGATGATAAATACATTTTATTTAAGGTGTCCAATCCAGATGATTCAACTCATAGTAGCTGTATCATTATGTTCTGACCACTATAGTCTGAGTTCAGTAGAGGGAAGAAAAGGAATTTTAATTAATTAGGCCATGGTGAAAGAATAACATTTTCAGATTTTGCAATGGATAATATTGCAATGCAAATATATTTTAACAGGCCCAGATACAAATGTGTTAAAAGGCAACCTGTATATTTTGCCCCAAATTTACTGAATTTCTATATTAAACCTCCAATCATGGCTGAAACTGAATAAATTCAGGTAAACCCAGCTTAGAGAGATTTTATTTTCCTTCTCCCTGGTTTAACCTCATTCATTCACATGAGGACAGAGGGTGGGGGGCAGTAGGAGGGAAAGATACTGGGATAGTTCTTGGTCATCATCTGCTTGTGATGGAAAACATTAAAGTACATGTCACCATCTTTTTGATCTTTGGTCATTGGCATATTTCATGCTGGTATCTGTTGACGCTTCATCTTCACAACTGTCCTGGGGCCCATGCTAATATCCATTGACTGTATTCTCCAATATCCAGGCCATAAGGACACTTGCATTCACTTGCTTTCATCCATTCTTCCACTTTGCTCTCTCTTTCCCCATTCATTCTCTCTCTTTCTCTGTCTCTCTCAATATATATTGGTTATCAAATATGGGAAGAGTGGGATCCATGGCCAGGAGAGGGGACCCCAAGCTCATCCTCTTGCACATTAGGCTATAGCCTCTGCTGGCTGGTGGGAATGCATGGAACCTCTCTCTCCAGAGGATAATGTGGAAATATATATTAAAGGGTTTTAAATGTGTATATAACATTTGAAGCAGCATGTAACATTCTAGATGTACATTTTAAGAAAATATCAGGTACCCATGCAAAGATTTCTATGAAAGTTCTTCAATGAATAATGAGTTGTTTAAGTGAAATATTGAAAATAGAAGTAACAGTCATCAATTAGCAAATGAATAAATGAATCATGGTCCATTCATAGAATGGACTTCTATTCAGCCAGTAAGAATAATTGAAAATTAATTTTTATGGTGATGAATACAGAAATCAGCTCACAAATATGTTTAGCAGGGGAAAATACCAAGTGTCAGTACTTTTATTTTTGTGAAATCATGTGTGTCTATGTGTATAAATAGAGAAAGTCTGGGAAAAGATAATATTAAAATCTACAATAAAGAATAGTGTTTATAAAATGATTATCGGCTTGAATTTTATTACATGCATGTATGATTTATATCTGATGGACAGAAAAAGGTCTTCTCCTTTGAGGAAAGAAAGATAAAAAAGTAATTCATGAAGTTTCTTTGACCTAGATTCTCTAATTGACTCCTTTCTATATCAAAATGTCATGAATTATTTTCAGAAATCATTTAAATAATTTATTCTGAAGCCTTTGATTATGAACTCCCAGGACAGAGATCATCTCTTATTGCATAAGCTTGCATGATCCATACCATAACATTTGACAAAGTTTATTAAAAAAAAAAAAAAAAAAAAAAAAGAGCCTTCTTGTACTTAGAAGATTGGAGGAGAGAAACTCAAGAATCTAAAATATGGCTTCAAATTCTTGGTTGTAATTCTACCAGAGCCAACATCCATTAGCATCATCCTTAGCTGTAGCCTTAACAATCTACAAAGGGTGCGGGGTGCTCAGGGCCTGACCTTACCAATGGATTTTTTTTTTTTAGAGAGAGTCTTACTTTGTCACCCTCGGTAGAGTGCTGTGGCATCACAGCTCACAGCAACCTCCAGCTCTTGGGCTTAGGTGATTCTCTTGCCTCAGCTTCCCGAGTAGCTGGGACTACAGGTGCCCGCCACACACTTAGCTATTTTTTTATTGCAGTTTGGCTGTGGCAGGGTTCAAACCTGCCACCCTCGGTACAGGGGGCCAGCACCCTACTCACTGAGCTGCAGGCACCACCTACCAATGGATTTTTTTGTATATATGTATATTTTTAATTTCAGAATATTAGGGTGTATATCATGAATTCTTACCCCAATCAAATGGCACTTTGCCACCCTTTCCTAATAAGCTGACCCTATCACTTTGTTGGAATTTTGCAGGTTTATGGGACAATCTTCCACATAAGACAGGGAAACCCATTCAAGCTAATGGCTTTGGTGGACAATTGGCCTGATTTTAACACAGTGGTTGTCCGCCCTCAGGAGCAGGTAAGGTGCCAGGTGTAGAGTGAATCGTCTTTTATGTTCATATTTACTTTAGGCTACCATGTGCTTGGATATGTGTTAGAACTAAGGCACACAGAAATAAATCATTGTGATGGTCAGCAAGTCTCTGTCCTCAAGAAGCTTAGAATGTTGAAAATGGACAAATAAATCACAACTCTGTATAAAGTATTCAAGGACAGAAGATGCCTAAGAGACAAAAATAACCCAAATGACACCTAATTAAACTATGGAGTAGAAGGTGGAGGTTGCCAGAGGTGGAGCAAGATGGCGGAGGGGATGCATTGCTGGGTCAACTCTCCTCTCAGTTTCAGGTGGGGGGGTGGCTGGATCTTTCCCTGAGTGGAGCGTTAGCACAGTCAAGCAATGCAGGGTGTGCAGCAAAGAGGTGAATTGCTGGATTGGAAGTGTAATCCAGAACCACAGTATCTGCCAGAAAAAACTCGGCACAGGAGCTGAAGCAGCGCCAGCTGCAGCCAGTGGCTAGAGGCCTGAGACAGCAGACACCAATCCTTCCCCCACGAAGGACTTCTATACCCAATTTGTGGGGAGTTTGGATGTTTTGCAGAGAGTGTGGTGAGGCACGGACTCCCAAGCAGAATTTGGCGACCAGAAAGGGGAGCCATTTGGACCCAGTTTGGAGTGTCAGGGGTCCAGGCAACTGGACAGAAATTTGAGGGAAAAGGATTCCACTCAGGAACCAATTCATTTTGTAATGTTAGAAGTCTTTGTGGCACTGCACTGAAGCGGGCAAGCGACAGGGGCAATTAACCCCTTTCCTACAGACTCTGAAAAGTCTTTTGTGTGAATCCTGTGCTGAATCCCCAGGAATCAGAGGTAACCAGCACCTTCCCCACAGAAACGGACTGAAAACTCTGTGCTGTGGTGCTAAAGTGGCTGGCACAAGCAGCAACCAGCTCTTTTTCCACGGAACATAACAATTTCCAGTTTGAGGGGAAACTAGGAGTTGAGTGGAAATCTGGTGAAGCGTGGACTCCTGTGCCAAGTTTGGAGAACAGATAGGAGTACTGCCTGGAAAAGGACAGCCAAGGCTGGGCGGCCAGCCAGGAACCAGACCTATTGTAAAACTTCAAAAATGGCATCTCCATAGCACCTCTTCCAGGAGCGTGGAGAGCTCAGTCTCTCCTGTAGCCAGTCATTCTGCATCTGAAGCTGGTTCAGGACACCCCACACTTTACGGGAACTGTTGTAGGGAGAATTTGTGCAACCTGCCAGCAAAGATTCCTTTTGTTGTTGTTGTTTTCTTTTTTTGTTTTAGCCCAGGAACCACTCACAGCTCCACCTGCTGTCTAGAAAGTATATTGCAACATAAACATATTTCCACTAAAGTTGAACCCCACCTCATATATAAAGTGGTATGTTTGTATATATTCATAAGAATAATATTTTTCCTGGTGGTGCCCCCCCTTTTTTTCTTAATCCTTTTTTTGTAGGCGTTACTGTTAAGTTTTTTGTTTGTTTGTTTTGTTTTTTATTGTTAATACTACTCTTTTTTCTTCTCTCTTCCTCTCCTTCTCTTCTTATGATTGGAGAGAGTGTTTACATCTGACTAATAGTCTTGTTTTTGTTTTGTTTGTTTGTTTGTTGTTTACCATTTTATGATTACCATTTTTGTGGTTGTTTATTTTTGCTTGTTTGTCTTTTGTTTTGTTTTGTGTCTGTTTGTTTACTTGTTTCTGATTGTCTGTGCATCTGTGTGCTTGTGTGTCTGGTAGCATTTTTGTCTGTTTATTTGTTCACTTGGCTTCGTTGTGTTTTGTACTTTGCTAAATCTTCAGGTTGGCTATTTTCCCCAACTCCAATTTTCACATTCAATAAGAATATGGAGGAACAGGGGATGCGGGCTGACTGGAGCTAGTTTTCAACATAAACTCCAGTTCAGGGGGAGACAGAACTGCCAAAAAGAACCCAATGAACCTAAAGGAGGAGAGCTGAGCTGAGAGAAGAGATAGATAAATGCATGTCTTCTCCACCAAGGCAAGCCACAACTTCAAGAAAACAAATTAGAGGTTTAGACTGAGCCCAGGTGGAATATTCTTCAGCTGCCATTGAGTGCCTGAGGCAGATAGGCTTCAGCTCCCTCTACTGGCTCGCAACAAAGAGTGGTCACTGAGTGGAGGAGGCATTAAGTTTACTTGGACTTTGGCAGGCACAAAACCCTGACACTCTTGCTTATTGGGCAGGACTGGGCCACAGAGTCTGGGTTAACAGAGACTGGTGGTGAGGTTATCAGAGACTGGGGTTACCGGAGTCTGGTGGTGAAGGGTGAGCAAGGAGGGGAAAAAGACATCAGCCTCCTTACTCCAAATTGTCTACTGAATGGGCCTTTCTGACTCCTCAGAACATCAGAGTGAGCTGCACTTGAGCCACCAGTAAATTTCTACTATCTAGTTGCTGGAGACCCTGTGAGCTTTCCAGCTAGAGAGTGGGTACTGATCAGGTCAGTAGGTTTGGATCTCTTGAACTGGGCAAATTAATGGGTGGTTGAAGGAGAATCTCTGGTGCTCTCCGGATTTTCTTAGACCTAAATTGACTTCAGGTGGAACATTCTCCTGCTGTCATTGAGTGCCTGAGACAGACAGGCTTCAGCTCCCTTTTCTGGCTGGGGATAATGAGCAGTAACTGAGTAGAGGTGGCACTGACTCTACTTTGACTCTAGCAGACACAAAGCTCTGCCACACTCACTTATTGAGCAACTGGGTCACAGCACTGTGGGGTCTCCAATAATTGGGTGTGACAAAGGTGCAAGGTGGGAAAGGAGACATCAACCTTCCTAGATTAATTTATTTTCTGGGTAGGTCCTTCTGACCCCATGGAGCACTGGAGCGAGTCATATCTGAGCTGCCAGAAGACCCCTGCTGTATAGTTGCCAGAGACCTTTTCAACTCCTCCACTTGAGATCAGTGCTGACTGGGATACTAAATTTAGATCTCTTGAACTGGGCCAATCACCTGAGAACTATCCAAAGTGGTACTCTGGGGGTGAGGCTATGGGAACTTTCCCAACTTTCGCCTGTGAGGGGGCGGGGTGACTTAATTGCTGATATTTCTCCACAGCTGAGACTTTAACTCAGAGTAATTGAGTTTCCAGGGTAGAACAGAGATCAGCTGAAAACAAGATAGAGACACTCAGCTGCACCACACCAAGCAGGCCTCCAGGCTCTCGGATAGTAGCACTACACGCATCCTTGGCAAAGCTCTAGGGGAAAAGGTACAGACACCAGTCCCAGCCTTTGCCCAAAAGGGCTAGTAAAATACTACTCCCGGAGCCCCCAAACCAACTTCCTCTTACCTGCTCACCTAGCCAAACAGAGTAAATCCAGCATGGGGTGGAATCAGCAGAAAAACTCTGGTAATATGAATAACCAGAGTAGATCACCCCCCCCCAAGGAAGGATGTGGCAGATGAATCTGAAGATCCCATCCATAAACAGATGGCTGAGATGTTAGAAATCAAGTTCAGAATTTGGATAGCAAATAAAATTAACAGAATGGAAGAAAGGAAAGAGCTAGAACTTCAAGAAATTATTCAAAAGATGTCTCAAGAAATTATTCAAAAGACATCTCAAGAAATTATTCAAAAGATGTCTTAAGAATTCAATGATTTCAAAGATAAAATGATCAAAGATTTTGAAACATTGAAGTAAGAGTTCGTAGCCCTCAAAGATCTGAAAAATATGGTAGAATCCCTCCATAACAGAGTGGAACAGGCTGAAGAAAGGATCTCTGACATTGAAGACAAAGCTTTGAACAAGCCCCAGAGCTCAAAGATGAAAGGAAACAGAAAGCAAAAATGGATCTTTCTTAGAGAGTTCTGGGATAATTTGAAGAACACTAATATTCACCTTATAGGAATCCCTGAAAGTGACAAAGTTGCTTCACAAAACATAGAGACTCTTCTTCATGAAATGATGAAAGAGAACTTTCCAGATATGCCAAGAGATTCTGAAATTCGGATAGTAGATAGTTTCAGAACCCCAACAAGACTCAACCCAAACAAGACATCCCCCAGACACATCATCATTAACTTCACTAAAATTAATATGAAAGAGAAAATTCTGAAAGCAGTTATATGCAAGAAAACTATAACCTACAAGGGGAAGAATATTAGGATGACTGCAAATCTCCCTGCTGAAACCTTTTAGGCTAGAAGAGGATGGTCAGCCACTTTTAATTTCCTAAAACAAAATAACTTTCAAACCAGGATCCTGTATCCAGCTAAACTAAGTTTTTCATCTATGATGGAGAAATTAAATACTTCAACGACAAATTTGCCATAACTAAATCAGCTCTGCAGTAAATTCTCAAACCTATCCTCCATAATGACCAGTGCAATCCTCCACCACAAAAGTAAATTCACCCAGAAACTTTTGATCAAATTCCAACTTCCACAGTGGCGAAAGGATTAAAAATGTCTAATGGACTTTTGAGCAACTCAAGGACCAATATTTCACCAGGCTTATCAATAATTTCAATCAATGAGAATGGTTTAAATTGTCCTTTAAAGAGGCACAGATTGGCTGATTGGATACAGAAACTCAGACCAGACATCTGTCATATTCAAGAATCACATCTTACTTTAAAAGATAAATAGATAAATATAGACTCAGGGTGAAGGGATGGTCATCTATATTCCAGGCAAACGGAAAGCAGAAAAAAGCAGGTGTTGCGATTTTACTCGCAGATACATCAGGGTTTAAACCAACAAAAATAAGCAAGGATAAGGATGACCATTTTATATTTGTTAAGGGTAATACTCAATACGATGAGATCTCAATTGTCGATATCTAAGCACCCAACCAGAATGCACCTCAATTTATAAGAGATACTCTAACAGACATGAGCAACTTGATCTCTCCCAGTTCCCTCATAGTCAGAGATTTTAACACTCCTTTGGGAGTGTTGGATAGATCCTCCAATAAGAAGCTTAGCAAAGAAATTTTATATTTAAATTTAACTATTCAAC